TCCCACTGGTGCAGGGTAACAGGAAGCTTTCCCACACACTCACTGGACCTGGGCTAGGACTGGGTCTTAAATTGATTCTGGAGGTGGGTATTGATCTTTTAGATTTCTGTAGGATCAGTTATTTTTCTGTCCTTGTCCTTCCTAGTTGTATGGATTTGGCTCTTTACCTTTTTTTGTTGAGGTTGGCTAAGAGTGTTCATAGTTTATTTAACCTTTTGAAAATCAACTCTTTTATTTGTTGATTCTTTGTATTGGTTTCTTGGTGTCAGCAGCATAAATTTTTGCCCTGATCTTTCAAATTTTCTTTTTTATATAACTTTTGAATTTAACTTGTTATTGATTTTTTTTTATAATTTGAGGTTCAATGTTTGGTTTCTGCATTGAGCTTGCTCGGTTTTCCTGATGTAAGAATTGACTGCTATAAATATTTCTTATAGGACTTCTTTCACTGTGTCCCATAAATTTTTGACTTGTCATATTGGCTTTATGGTTCAATTGTAGGACCTTACTAATTTCTACTTTTCATCTGTGACCCATTAGTTATTCATTGGTGTGTTATTATTTTCAACATATAACAGGTTAATATTACCTGTAGTTATTTTAGACTGATAAGGCCTGCAGTCTCCCAAATTAGTATACAGAGAATAATCAAGTGGTAGGATTTTAGGGTTTCAGGAGGATGAAAATCCTCTAACAGAAGTCAAGATTCTCTTGGGACTAAGACAAAAATATTCTGTGGGTGGCCCATATTTAGTTATGAAAACAAAGGAGAGAAATACTGGAGAAAGGCAGGAATCTGAGCAGGAGCATTCAAGAAACTTGAAGCCCTCTCAAGGACATTATGTTAATTCAGGGGAACTGTATTATCTCTAGGAAGTCTCCAGCCAGGAATGAGATGCCTCAGCTATAGTCTTTATCTAGTTAATTGTGGTTGGATCCAGGTGTCCTTATCTGTGGCCTTCTCTTGTCTTTTGTGGTGTCATACTTCACCTGTCATTACAGGCCTCAGCTGGGGCCAATCTTCCAGAAATGCATTTACTATGATTCCATTGCCAGCTGCAGACATGTGGCCTACGCCTTGGGCAGACTCACAACCACACATGAAGAGCCATATGATAAAATTAGATTTATCTCAGATTTATTTCATTAAATTTTTCTCAGAGCAAATTTTTAGTAGTCTCCATCACATATGTTTATGTAGTTTGTGGTTTTTTTTTTTTTTTTTTTGTTTTGTTTTTTTACATTGTTTTCCATTTCATTGCTTTATGATCTGGGAATATGTATGGGATAATTTTAATTCCTTTGCAAGCACTTTAGCCTATTTTGTGACCTAGAATGTGGTTCCTTTTTGACTGTCTTGTGTTGTCTATGAAGAATATATGTTCTATTGTTGGATGCAATACTCCTCAGATATGTAGCAAGTCCATTTCTTCAATAATTTGAATTAACTCTGATATTTCTTTATTGATTTTTTTTGTCTACATGAAGTATTTGTCACAGTGGACTTTTGGTTTTATCAATTAAAATTGTGTTAGTGCTTATCTGATTTTTCGTATCCTAGAGTTTGTTTTATATACTTAAGTGTGCCAATATTTGTTACTTCAACTGTCTCCTTAACAAGTATATGAAGATCCTTTTTGTCTCTTCTAATCAGTCTCAGTTTTAAATGTACTTTGCCTGCAAGTAGACTAGCTATCCTTACTTTCTTTTTTTAAAACATTTATTTATTTATTTATTTATTTATT